ATTAATTTTCGCTGGTGCATAGACAACATGTCTTGAAATAAAGTCAAAAACAAAATAAATAATTTAAACAAAAAAAATCGATTCATACTTTAGATCAGTATAATCACCACCTTGTCCTAATGGATTTAGAAAGGCACGTTCAAGTTGTAACAACTGATCATTGTATGCTCGAATTTCGTATGGACTATAAAAAAAAAGTCACTTCATTCTTTTTTTTGTATGTCACTACTGACAACTTTACTTTTCCAAATCTAATGATTTCAATCGTGCAGCAAAATCTTGAGTAGCCTTACCAAAATCATTGATAGCATTTCGAAGTGGATCTTAAATGAACATATTTTAAAATTTTTTTCTAAGAATACAACAAAAATTATTCTTATACCAAGAACAGCAGAATCTTTTGGTTTAAGACTATTCATTGCTTGCATGAGTGCCGTTGTATATCTTGTAACATTAAATGGTAAAACAGATGTTTCTGATAAAAGTAATGTTAAAACACCCCAAAGTTGTCCTATGGTTTTGTGAGCCTAATTGAGATATTGTTAAAGATGGGAAAAAATCTGCTAAAGAAAAAACTAACTGTAAAATGAGGATCGATAAACTTTTTCATCATAGAAAACACTTCATAGGATGTATGATAAAGTGGATATGAACTTATATTTCCATGATCAACAACATTGTAACTATATGTTATATCCACATTTGATGAACCAACTAACTGATCAAAGGCATAGTAGTCACTGGCTGACCCAAGACCATATATCATACTATGGAGAAAAAACTCATGATAGTTCGAATAAGAATTTAGTTACTGTACTTTGGTTCATTAGTTCTATTATTTCGATTAACCTTCATCCATTTATCATAGACAGTTTGTCCAACAGGATCATAAGCACTTGGAACCTGCAACTCAAAATGCAGAAAGATAATATATAATATTATCATGCTTATTACCATTTTAGCTGCTTCGATAATAACATCAAACAACATTGGTGAAGTATAAATACTAACTGTATGGTTGCCTGTTTCCAACAAAAGTAAAATAACCATTTCCATTTTCAACACATACTTTACCTTCAACTGCAACATCTACATTCAAGTAAGACACCATTCGAGCACCAAGTACTTTAACATATTCCTTTAAAACAAATATCAAACTATAGCTCTCAAATACTGTTAATGCTTCTAAAACCTAACTAACTACCATACCTGAACATATTCTACTGATCCAACCAGTCCATATTCTTCAGCACCCCATGAACAAAACATTAAACTTCGTCGTGGTCGAAATCCTATCAAATATATTATACATTCAGTTTTACTATCATGTGCACAAACGCATCAAAAACTACCATTTTTATACATTTGACCAAGTACTCTTGTTATTTCAAGAAGAGTAGCTGTTCCACTTGTTGGATCTACACTACCCAATGCCCAAGAATCACTGAAAGATAAAAAGAAGAGGTTTTTAACATTTCAGAAAGAAGCATTCAATGATACAAGTCGAAAAGAAACAAAAAACAACGAAAGCTTCAAATCTTACCGATGATTTCCAAGAGCAATATATCGATCTAACAAGAAAAACAGTTTTGTATCGAAACAGAATAGTCTTCGACTTACCTGGTTCAATTTCACCTTTCATTATTCCAATCACATTATATGTGTCTTTTCTTTCAAGTCGATTGTATATTTTTACTTCAATCGTACTACACGAAACAAACAGTTTGTTTTTATAGATCTTCAAAATTGGCTTATCTTACGATGCTTCACGAAGTTCTCCACCATAACGATATATTACGTTTGATAAAGTTCCACGCCATTCGACTGGTACTTCATTACCTTGCATATACCTAAATGTAACATTTTCTCCCATCAACTAACAATAAAATTCAAAGATTTCTTACTGAAGAATAATCTGAGCTTCACCATACCCAATTGGTTGAGCAGGGATTTTAGGTAGAAAGATGACACTATCTTCTCTCACTCTGTACATATAATCTATAGAATATAAACATACTATATTTACCGATCTATTCATTGTTGAAATATGATGGAACCTGTTGATGGATATATAGGTGTCAAAGGATCACCAAACGAAGTATAGGATGATCCTCGTTGTGTACCACTTGGAGGCATAAACCACTTTTGATCATAAACTTGATCAGATGTTGTTCCAAATGGAGCATAATCAGCTGGATCATTATATAATATTGCACCTATAGCTCCAAAATATTGAGCATGCATCACCTATAAATCTCTCGATGATTCTCAAACATATTCTCTTACATAAACAGGACGAAAAAAAAACATACCTTATCTCCTCGATAAATGCGACCATATCTCATGATGATAATACTACTTTGAAGACTGGCATTTCCAAC